CCCCAAAACCCCAAAACCCCAAAACCCCAAAACCCCAAAACCCCGTGGTTTAATAAAATATTTGAAATCAAAATGGATAAGGTAAATTACACATCAATTCTCAAGCATTTTTCAAACTCAGTCTTCTTTGGCATCATCATCTAGATTGAAGAAGAGCAAAGCCCAAAATCCAAAATAAGGGCATCAATTGAAGACTATTTTGAGTCAGGTATTCTTTATGGTATAATATTATAGAAAAGAAGTTCTCACCGAGAAATCATCAAAAGAAAAATGGAGATGACAACCCCTTCAGTATCGCAAATGAAGAAGCTAAAGAAAAGTTGAAAGTAGAAATAATGATATTTAATTTTTCTATAGAACACAAGTTTAAAAATCAATGATATTAAATCCCAATTTGATAATTTTGATGAGCCTGATTCTGGAAATAAGGTACAAACGTCCTGATTCCATAGATATCTGAAAACAAATGCAAAAGCCAGGTGGACTCAAAGGAACAAATCTCAAGAGTAAAAGTAAGAACCAAAGTTGAAGAAGTTTTCCCAAAGAAGCACATATTGAACTTGCACAAGCTCCCTTTATTCTTTGAGACATTTATGGCTACAGCATTACTGATCAACTTAAAATCATTGATGTACACTTTGTTTATTCTTCCCATTAGAGCTGCCTGGGGTTTCATGTTTTCTCTCTGTGGGAAGAAAAAGAAAAAGAGATTACGTTGCGATCTTTATTTCTTCATAGTAATTCTAGTCGTAGTCTCAATATTCACCTCAACCTCGAATATCTCTTCAATATACCACTGGATCAAGGGAAAAGCGTTTATAAAGCTGCTTACTCTCTATGTTATTATGGATTTATCCGACGTTCTCTCCCGCTCAGTTGGAAAGGACCTAATCTACTGTCTAGCTAGGGATGTATTCTACAAGAAAAACTGCGTAAAAGCCACTATTCTCCTCTGTATCCACACCCTAGCCCATACCTATATACTGTTGTTCCAGATGTTGACACTGAACTCAGTCTTGAAGTCGTCAGTGGACACGTTCTTCCTGTTCTTACTTTCAAATAATTTCACTGAGATTAAAGTCTTTGTGTTCAAGAAGACAGATAGCTTAAAGCTGTTCGATATTGCTACCAGAGATGTAACCGAGAGGTTACAACAATATATTTATATTTGCTACCTCTTGTTGAGTAATTACCTGGACCAGTGGACCCTTACAGCCATAGGGATCTTCTGTGTTGTCGAATTCGGAGTTGACTGGATTAAACACTTCTTCTTTGGAAATGATAATGGCCATCATCCTACTATTTATCTCTCACATAAAGACCTGATTTGTAGAATATTAAGAAACTGATTCAACAGAAGAATTGAAAGCGAAGGTCCAGATGAGAATAAACTAGAGAAGGAGCCTGAAAAAGAAGACATTCTCAAAGATTTGAACATTGAAAGTAATGAAGGAGATTCTAAGAACCAGAAGAACTTCATTGATCAGTGAAATAGAACCAAAGATGTTCTGTGAAAATCTCAAGCAAAGGATATGATGTTATACAGATACACACTCAATGAGTTTTACAATGTATCTCTTTTCCAAAACTTCCTCATTCTCCCTCAGACATGTTTGATTTTAAGACTGTTTTTCAGCATTATGAGGGAGAAAGAATTTCTAATCGATGATATCTTCATCATTGTAATCCTAGTAAGGCCAAGTCTTGACAGTATAGATCATCCCATGAGGACTTATTGCTGAAAGGCTGCTATCGTATCTAATCCACTCAATTTCAAGGACAGCTGGGAACATATCATTACATGTGTAGCATCCAATTCAAATCAATATTGAAATTTACTTAAGGGGTTTTGGGGTTTTGGGGTTTTGGGGTTTTGGGG